GGTCTGCTTCGGTAAAGAAGGTAAATAGTTTATTCTGTTTGATTCATTTGTATTTTATGATTAGTTTTTCTTAAGTTTGTGATTCATCTCTTCAACAGTCTGTAGGATGATGTTTATGCATTATTCAAGATAAGTTTTTGATTAATTGTTTATCAATTTAGATCATATGCCAATAGGCAATATAGGGAATAATCAGTGTTAATATATTTATGCAACCTTCCAATGCCTTCCTTTTGATATATTAAGTAGCTCAACCATTCAGAAGCATGAGATTATTTGCAACAATTTAAGTACCTCAGCATTAATCTCCTTCTATTATAAATAAGAGATCCTGTTTGGGTTGAATGGGGGTGGGGTGTTAAGGGATGTGAGAGGTTTGCCTCCCATTCTGCTACGCAAAATTTTTTTTAAAAAAGGAAAAAAAAAAAAGCAGCTTGGGATTATTCTTAATTCGCCTCATCTTGCGGGCTTCCTAGATGTCATTCAATTCCTTTGTTATTGATATTTTTAGAGGCATGTCTTGTATTTCTAATTTTCTATTTTGGTCTTCCTTCCATTACCTTGCTATATCATTTCAGATTTCAATGTATTATCCAAAATACTTTTGATTTTGTCATGTAATTTCCTAATTTTCCCCCCCTTCAAAATATTCCAGTCCGAAGTATTTGCTGTCGCCTTTGCACTGCTGGCAGCCCGTGCTGTAATCTTGACATTGAAATGTTCTGCTGCTGGTAACAATTTCTCTATCCCATCATAGCAGAGTTTTGGATTTGAGGTTCTAGTTCTCTTCCTATTTGTCTGAATTTAGTTAAATATTGTTTTCACTGATGGAAACAAGAATTTGAAATATAATCCTACCTTCTGGATATGTATGATAAGCAAACAACTTTTGCTGGATTTTTTCATTTATGTTTGTATTTTTGTTTCAGGGTGGACATATAATTTTCTTCCAGAGTCTAAGTCTTCTAGGTTATTGTCTATTTCCTCTGGACATTGGAGCTCTCATCTGCATGTTGAAGGACAATGTGGTAGTCAAAATGATCGTGGTCTGTGTGACATTGGCCTGGAGCTCCTGGGCTGCCTACCCTTTCATGAGTTCAGCTGTGAACCCAAGGAGAAAAGCCCTTGCTCTCTACCCTGTTTTTCTCATGTATGTATCTGTTGGTTTTCTTATCATTGCCATTAATTAATGAATTAGTGGTTTCCATTTGGGTTTCCTCAAGTGAGCAGTTACACAGGAACCTCAGGCGGTGGTTGATTTTCATCCCATGTTACTGTATATTTTGACTTGAAATCATTGGGATTCAACCAGCGGACATTATATGCCAGTTATATTTCAGTATACTTAGATTTCGAGTTAGGGCTTTTTGTTTCTCTTTTGTGCACCGTAAATTATATATTTTTTAAGTTGAATACCATGTGTACATTTGTGTTAACATCAATATGAATATATATATCTGGTATTTTCCTCTGCATCCTCACTTGTTTCCTCCTATTTAGTTTTCTTGTTTTCTCCAAAGAACTATCCATTGGTTTCGGAGGGGCCCTTGACAACAGAGGAAGAACCTTCCATCCAATGATTGGTTCCCTGCAATTCAATGCAGTCAGACGCTGCTCAAATAGAGTCACAGAGATAGAGTTTCTGGTGGTGCTGCTGAACGTTACCTCCAAAACGAAGATGATCAAAGTCATTTTGATAGACTAGAAATCCTTTTGATTTTTATTGTCTTTGTAAAGCCAACTAGAGTTTGCCATTCAATCTCTTTTTAACAATCTTGAAAACCGTTCTTATTCCAAACAATTGGGAAGAGGAGAAAAAGGGCAGAAACAAGGAATCGATGGCCTCAAGTCAGCATCTGTCATGCTTGATTTTAAATTTATCATGAATCTTCCGCAAAACAAACATAACAATAACGATATAAAGCGCTCCTAAACGAGGCTACCATTATTTGGGCAAGAAAAAGAAAAGTCTACATATAGCAGCTTATTCATGTACCTCAATGAAAAAGACACAACTTCCCCAATGACATCAAACATCTTTATTTCCAAAGAAACTTCGGCGGCCAGTAACTAGAAACTCCGGTAGACAACATTAAGTACTTGCCACGGAGGAAGTACACATCAATAACATAAGCAAGAGGTCGAAAGTTTGAATCTTGAGAGTTGAGACAAAATGAAATAGATTTGAGAAATGAAAGGGTTATCCTTGTTGTATAGCCAACCCTTCAGAAAACACCCAAAAAAAAAAGGAAAAGAAGACAAGCATGGCTAAGCGCAAATCAAGGAAAGTGCAGAATTGGTACAAGATGGAGGGGGGATTTCTTGCCATTTGTTAGCCCAAAAGCTTCATCCATGTCCAATTTCTCAGTTTCACCGCCAGGCAACTTCCAATCAAACCAATATAAAAGGTTGGCAACAATGCAT